TCTATGGAAATTGATCTAATAGATCAGAGCATTGGAACATCTTGAACAAGCGTATAAGTATACTATACTGGATATGTGCTGGGAAATGTTTGTTTCTTTACTTGTATGTGTAGCGATGTAACATCTTTCACCATTGATGCATCAGGTTAAATCTGTTAAAGTTAGCAATCTTTCACTAGGGGCTTCTGAGCGAGATGTAAGGGAGTTCTTCTCCTTTTCTGGAGATATTGTATATGTTGAGACAAAAAGGTTAGTAAACTAAATGACTTTAAACTTCCCTTTTTCCTTTTCTTACAAGTTACAACTAAAACCAGTTCAATCCTCTGATTACAGTGACACCGAGCGTTCCCAAATCGCATATGTCACCTTCACAGATTCTCAAGGAGCTGAAACCGCTGTTCTTCTTTCTGTAATTCACTTCTCTCTTTACATCCAATCAGTGTTTATACATACTACACCTTCCACATGTGATTGATCCGTTTGTGTCGTATGAATCAGGGTGCAACAATAGTCGATACAACTGTCACTGTAACTCTAGACCCAGAATACCAGCTTCCACCTGCTGCAACTGCTGCTTCTTCTCCAGTAAGACTAATTTCACAACCTGTTTTCCACCATTAAACATTTTTCACCCTTAGAGTCTTGGAAACTTTCTTGTAGCCATATGGAAGCAATGCTCCTGTTAGAACCGATTCTGCTCTACGAAAAGCCGAAGATGTTGTCACCAGCATGTTTGCAAAGGGTTTTGTATTGGGTAAAGATGCTGTTGGAAAAGCAAAAACGTTTGATGAGAAACACGGTTTGACATCCACAGCATCTGCTAAAGTAGCCTCATTGGACAAGAAGATTGGGTTCACTGAGAAAGTGAATGTTGGGACTTCTATTGTGAGTGATAAAGTGAAAGAAGTTGATCAGAAGCTTCAGGTTTCTGAGAAGGCTAAGTCAGCCTTCACAGCTGCTGAGAACACAGTAAGTAATGCTGGATCTGCTATAATGAAGAACAGGTATGTGTTTACTAGTGCTTCATGGGTAACTGGTGCTTTTAATAAAGTGGCAAAAGCTGCTGGGGAAGTAGGGCAGCAGACTAAAGAGAAAGTAGAAAAGGCTGAAGATGAGAAGAGAAAAAAAATGGTGGATGATTATGCTGAGGTTCATTTGTCTGAGTCACCAACTGCTCCGGATGTGAGTGAGCAGCAGCATCATCCTTCAAAGCCTGCACCTGTCACAGGTTTGGTTCTGTAGGTGCCCGTTTTATATATATACATTTTTATTTTTATTTTTATTTTTATTGGGAAATTGGATTTTGTATGGGAAAATCGTGTGTTTCACCCATTGTCGTGTGGTGATGATACAACTTTTACATCATTAGATTGTTGCGAGACTTCATTTTTATATCATCATTCGTCGTGAATTTGAATATATCAAAATTTGATACAGTTGGTGATTGAAGTTTTTTTAGTGTTTAAAGGCCTTGGGCTGTTTTTTTCCCCTTATATATGGGTAAAGTGGCTAAATGCTTAATGATGGTTGTCTTTTATTAAGCAATGTATATATATGAGGTTCAATGTATATTGTTTTTTTAAGCGGAAATTCATGAAATCCGTAGACTACCTCTATAACCCTTTGCAACAGAAGAGATGGACCAAATGGTTGCAGTCTGTAATAAGAAATATATTTGTTTTTGAACATCTACAAACTATTTCAATAAACTGATTTATAATCTGAAAATATTTCTTTAACATTGAAATTTTAATAATTCTAGTTTTAAAACATTGAAATTTAAAAAAAAAAAAAGACCAAAAATATAAAATTTATAAAAGAAGCTATCAATTTTTTCTGGAAAAACTAATTTTAAAGAACATAAAAGAAGAAAATTATAAAAAAAAAATTAAGAAATTGTTGCAAAAGAACAAGTGTTGTGAATGTACGCATCAAAAATTATCTGAAGAGGCAACCTCTAAATAAACTATCTAAATAAACTATATGAATAAGACAAACTGTAGTTAGCAAACTAGCTAAAAAATCTAGTTTTTGGCTAATAAGTTAGTTGATTGCAGAGAACCTAGATAAAGAAAAAGTAATAATGTTAGATAAAAAAAATATTAATAAGTTAAATGACAAATATAAAATGATATAAAAGAATATTTAAATATATATAACAAAAAACCATGGTAAATTTGGAAAACTAAGGAAAAAAACAATGAAAGAATATAAGAATATTTAAATATACAAGTAAAAACTATGGTAAATTTGGAAAACTGTGGACAAAGCCTCACGAGCTTATCAAAAGGTATCTACAAAACATTGCATCGCAATAAGCTTAAAAAAAATTAAGTTGTTTTATACATACCAGCTAAATGATCATTTTATCTTTATATTTTAACAAACAATTTTCACAATATTTATCAATTATAACATGAGAGAAGTTGGGAGGAAAAATAAGATGGGCAAATACTTAAAGGGTTGATGTGTTAATACATTAAGCCATGTTATTTGGTTGAATCTTCTAAGTTATTATCTTTTGATCAAGTCAAAAGGAAGCGTCTATAAATGTCCAATTTACGTGTTTGACTCATTAAGCAAATTAAGTTAAAAGAAAATGTCCCTTGGTTGAGAGATTTTGGGTGAGTTTGTTTCTTTTAGGCAACTTTAGAGAAAGTGTTGGACTGTGAGCGTGATTTTTGGGGTAAACTTCTCTCATTCACATGAATTGCGAGTGGCTTTGATTTTGATGTGAGATCCCCTTTGCTGGCACAAAATTGGGTACAAAACAAAAGCGCAACTCACAACATGTTCTCATCTTATCATAGTGATTTTGTAATTGTAATTTTAATGACTTAGAATAACAAAAAGAAATAGTTATCCCGAATGAAAAAAGTATATTCTTAGGTTGTTAATTGCATTGTCTTAACTTTTTAAAACAAATATAATATTCTCTTTGATGAAAGGTTAAATGTTTTTTCTAGTAATCACATCTTTTATAAACTAAAAAACATTGTAAAAATCTAATTACCAGGCTAGCGTTCGATTGGTCAAGTTTGGCTTGTGAGTTTGTCATGAGAGTTAACACGTGGTCTAACTTTTATTGTGTAGGAAGACTTGTAATGAGAATGTGTCAAAATAGATTATTTATATATAATTTGGGTTGTGATGGGGTTCATACTTCACGATAGGGTTAGGCATTGGTGGATACCCGATCAGAATGTGGGGTCTACTGCCGAAATTGATATTGAAACAAGTTTTAAAAATTTCTAACACAATATTCAAGTATTTGTCCAACTTTGTTTTCATATACCAAAAAAGACGTCTTGAACCAACAAACACATATGAAGAGTAAGCCAGATGCTAATTTAAGTGCATGAAACTATAGATACTTGAATTAGAGAAAAATAGCAGCCTTATATGGTGTACCATATGGCTTTTTTGTTTTCATGGGTTCAATAAACAAGAAGTTATAAAACTCTATCTAACATGACAATTGAGTGATTGACATACATATACGCTAGTGAAACAAAAGACAACTATAGAAACATTAGGTGCTCGGTGAGATGAGTTTTTTGTACCTAGTTTTAAAACCGGTTCCACCACTGTATAATATCCCGTAAAATTGAATTAGAGATGTTTCTTATTCTAGTATTTATCCAAAGCCGTTGTTTTCATAAGGGTTGGATCGTCAAAATGGTTGGGCTAAAAACGGTTGGATTATTAAATCGTTAGACTTTTGATCCACCACTTTTACCTTAGGTCATTTTGTATACTCCACAATGTGCTTACCTCCAACTCAATGTCACATAGGTTCACAATATTTTTATCTACCTTATGAAATACTCCACGTCACCACTTTTAAATAAATAAAATTGTTTGGGATGATGTTCATGATTGCCATATAAGGCATAAAGTTCTCACTTCACATACTTACTTAACGGTTTGTAGAGTTTAATTTTTTTAACAAAATTTATTTTGTAAATAATTACATTTGTTTTATTCGAGAAAAAATCATCAAAATGCATAATTATTTTCCTCTACATATAGATAATGATATTAACATATTTTAATATAAAAATTGGTACTTAAAATGATTTAAACTATAATTTTTTTTTTCTTGTTAAAAGTTGGAAAACTGCATTAAAAAAGAATACTATGACAACATGATAGTTTTCCAACCATAAAAGTTGCATTTTTTTTTTATTAAAAACTGCATCAAAAAAATATTATGACAACATGGTTTTTTTCATACGTTTCGGGATTTACTGTGATTTCCATTTCAACAAAATCCAAAACACAACCAAATAGGCAAATATACCCGGTGACAACCAAATTTTGATTTAGTTTAATCCGTCAATATTTGGTTATTCCTGATTTGGGTTTTCGTCAAACTCCGAGAGCATTTGGTCTTCAACGAATACAAGAGGAACGTTTTGCAGAAGGGCATGATCTGAGCATTCAACAAAAGCCCTAATTTACATTCGTCGATAATCGAGTAAGTTTCTGTTATTTACTCCTCTGTTTTCCGTTAGTGTCTAGATTCATAATGTCTCTGTCTCCTGTTATATAATGAAAATAGTTCATCACTTGATTATTGACTATAATATTTCCTGATCGATTCCTAAAATGTTATGTAAAGTTGTTAGGATTGTGTAAAGAGGAATTTAGTTACAAGTTAGTATCAGTACTTCAATAACAATGAAAAGTTCATCAATCGTTCAGATGTCTTGAATTCCATCGCTTGGTTATTCATTTTAACCTAATTTCGTGATAATCTCATTGTTCTTGTTATCATCATCATCTTCATCCCGATCAACCTACTTTCCCATTCAGTCATTTTTTATTTCATTTCAAATCATGTCAAATTATGCTAATTCGTCTTCTTCAGATCCTTCATTCGATCATTCTCATCCTTTATATAGTGTGTTCCAAACAATTTGGTGGATCAGGATTTAGGGCTTGGAAGATAGCCATGAGTATTGCACTCTATGTTAGGAACAAGTTAAGCTTCATTAATGGCGGATCTGTTAGACCTACATCCATATCTCCTTTGTTTGACCTTTGGCAACGATGCAATGACATGGTTATCTCATAGATTTCAAAAGGTTTGTTTTGTCCAGAGAGATTGGTGAAAGTGTATTGTATATTGAAACACCATAGGAGCTTTGGTCAAGCAAATGGAGCAAAGCTTTATCAACTTGAAGCAATTAGTTGGTTTTCCTCATACAAACGTTCATGAAATCATATGTTGTGATATTTATCCTCGAGCGAAATATCTTCCTCATAGCCATAACTCATCTATTTTTTTAAACTCATTCACCATTGATATATGTGGATCTTATTGAATTTCCACATACAATGGCTTTAATTACTTCCTCACCATCGTGGATGGTTTTAGTCAAACCACTTTGACTCATCTTTTATCTACAAACATCAATGCTTTTCCTGATATTCAAGGCTTTATTGAGATTGTTAATACTTAACGTTTACAGAAATGGTTGTAGGATAGGATTTACAGTAAAACTACTACAAAAGTAGAAATGGAATTGGCAGACAGGGCAGTTGGGTTCATTTTAGCAAGCATCAGTGTGACTGTTTTCACGTATTACTCCTTTTGGGTGATTGTATTGGTTAGTTTTTGCATAAATTCATTAATTTCTTCATTTTATCTAATTACTTAAAATTTAAAATTACCATATGATTTTAAGGTCTTACTTATTATTATATTATGGGTCTTTCAGCCTTTTGTAGACTCGGATCACTTTGTACACAGTTACTTCTTACCCCAAGAGTATGCAATCCTGCTACCTGTTTATGCTGGTGTCTCTCTCATTTGCTTCTTATCTGTCTTTATTGGATATGTCATGCTTAAATCCAACTCCAAGAAGAAGAAAGCCTAGTTCAAGTTTTGCAATCTAGTCTTATTTTTCTAGTTTTGCAGAGGAAATATGACATGTTTTGGAAAAATATAAATATATGTGTGATCTCTCTAAATACTAACTGTAATTTCTCTTCATATCTTTAGACGACGTATTCACTTGCCAAAAGCATTTCAGTTTTAATTTGAAATTCAAAGCTACAGCATTGTTTATGTTACAAACGGATACAAAGGGAAATATTGAAACACAATTGTTATCGGAAAAAAGGCAACTAAAAGTAATTTGGAATCTTATACATGACTGAGTTAGACCGGTTTCCTAGGGCAATTCTTGAATGATAATGATGAAGAAGGCTTTCATGATTCATTTCAACCAACCATATTTTTGTAATGCATACCAAAAGAATTATTCACAATGGTATATAATTCAAGCTAAATGCAACACAAGACCATCCTGTTCATCGAGATGCAACAAAGCCTCTGAAGAGAGACTTGGTTAGAACTACCAAACGAGACATATATCTCAAACCACAATTTAATCGGTTAGCATTTAGCAATGGGAACCCAACTTGATTTAGTGCTTCAATCTCTCAAATTTAATATGTAATAACAAGTCACTTAAACAAAGAAAAGGTGCTATCAAAATGATATATCTATGTGAGGTAGAAATAATGTCATTGTCGAGAATAAGGTTGTGTCCATACTCGTAACAAAGTTTTGGAGGCTGTCTAAACAACATATCAACATGGATGTAAAACTTTGCCTATATTATCTAAAGGTAGTGTCACCTCAAATGAAGAGCAAAAATTACTTTCGCCTAGTTGCTAAAAGACGTCTTGCTTTCCTTTAAACATATTGTTAGTTTGCAGAGACGTGGGTCTCTCTCTCTCTCTCTCTCTCTTTATTTTTATTTTTAATGTTCAATAAGAACGCAAAGATGGCATGTATTTGTTTGGGTTAGCCGGAGAGATCACTGAATTCTTTGGTTTAAACTTTAAACCCATGGGATACCTTGAAATTAATCACTTCTACCTTGTTTGTATTAAAGTGGGTTTAATCTTCATGACACTTGTGATACCACTTGTTTAAATGAAAGGAAAATTTTCTAACCTGACGGGGAATTGTTGGAATTGACGTGGGATGAGAAGGTTGGAAGTCGTTCATTCCTTTGACCCATATACGTGGAAAAAGAAACCAAATTTTGGTTTATATAGAACTTTTTCTCCTTACCACATAAGACAAAATGGTGGGGGCTAAAACCTAAAAGAGGGTGCAACCCACATGTGCCTTTAGACGTGGTTGTTTATGGAAATACGCAAGGTTCACAAAGTGACGCGTTGTATGCACATTTAGCACTTTAGACATACACAATGTGTCGTCAAAAGTGTGACTATGGTTTATCAATTATTTGACATGGTCATGTGTCGTGTTTGGTGTTGTCAAAGTGTGGCTATAAATACTAGGGTTTTACCCTAGTATTTATCCACTATATGGTTTTACCCTATAAATACTAGGGTTTTGGTCAAGTGTCGTGTTTTAGTGTTCTAAGAACTATAGTGTGATGTCAAAGTGTGACTATTTTTACTGTATAAATACTAGGGTTTTGGTCATGTGTCGTGTTCTGGTGCTCTAATAACTATCGTGTGTTGTCAAAGTGTGACTATGGTTTGTCATTTCTTTGGCATGATCATGTGTCGTGTTCTGGTGTTGTCAAAGGGTGACTATGGTTTGTCAATTCTTTGGTTATGTGTTGTGTTCTGGTTGGGTTGATGTTACATGTCTCCCCACTATACGGTTTTCCTGCATAAATACGTCATGTGTCGTGTTCTGGTGTTGTCAAAGTGTGACTATGGTTTGTCAATTCTTTGGTCATGTGTTGTGTTCTGGTTGGGTTGATGTTACATGTCTCCCCACTATACGGTTTTACCGCATAAATACTAGGGTTTTGGTTGTATAAATACAACTTCACACAATTTTAATCACTGAAGCTCTCATGCATTGCTATCGGAACCAATACATTTTGTACATTAAAATCTAGGTTTTACACTTACACTTACAACAAATAAGCAGCATACAAAAACAAACTTTGAAGGACAAGATTCCAAATTCATAATGATCATATTGATGGAAAATTGTCAACAATGTTGGTTTTAATTAATATTGCATAATATTTAAATTTATCTGATAACGAGACAATTCTATTTCTACTGTTTCTTATTGGTAAAATTTAGATGGATAAATTATTTTGGAGATAGAGTTGTTTTTTATTTTCATTTATAACATTTAATATAAAAATTGTTTATTATTATTATTTGATTAACCAAAACATCATTCAATTAAGGATGACAATTTTTCAACAAGAAGCGACACACAAAAATAAACAGGTTTGGTCATAAATAGGTTGACCCGCATGCCCCGTTTATTATGCGAGTCGTGTTTGGGTTGGCAGATACATTCGTGACACAAATAACTATGTGTCGTATAATTGAACATTGATAGACGGGTCATGTATGCGTGAAGGAGACACGGGTTAAGGTTGAAGTACATGACATGAATAATTATATGCGTCACTGGTACACACCTTTTTCAAAATACAACTTGCTTGTATTAATATTTTGATTCCCTATCTACTATGATATTTGTAAAAACTAAAAAGCATCTGGCACACACCTTTTTCATATAAAACATTACAAAAACTGTAAACGAATAGATCAGTACTCTTTTATATCAAAAAGACAGACGGGTAAATCCATGCATGATGGGGAAAGGGAATCTAACATTAATTTGGTTCCAAAAGTAGCTATATATGAATGAATGATGCTTATTAGCAACAAAAGTAAGGAATTCGAGCCAAACATGTACAGATTATTTGAACGTGCCCCATCATATCATCGACTTCACCAGATCTATCTTCATCTCTGCACATGTTTCTTAGTTCTTATCCACGATAAGTGGCCTACTCATGAAACAAACAACCATGAACCATATTCACAATGCATGCTTTATAATGTGTATCATCATGTATGAAAGTTGAAGAGCCTTTAATCACCGATATGGAGATTCTAGCCCCTTTGTCAATAAGCTACAACGATCATCTGATAACCAATTACAAAACAAAACCATTCAGTTCTATATATTTTACTCATTAAGTTCACTTTTTAATTATTTTTGTCTTCGATTTTTCAATAAGGGGATATATCTTTGGGTTGAGAAACATACAAGTTAATTACAAATCATTCATGTTTATAAACTGATACAAAACAATTCAGATGCTCATAACTCAAACCCTTCGACCTTGGGACTACTAATCTGACCTCATTGATGATAACAAATCTGAACACAAGATGAAGAAAGCAACACCTAGATAGAAAATTTTACCTGAAAAGGAAAATAAGGGAAACCCATGGCCGGAATGATGATGTTTCAGGAAAAAGAATTATCAAAAGCGGCTGAAGTGATTGCCCGAGAGAACTCCTGGAAGTTGATCCGTCCATCGCCGTCAGTATCCGCCTCTTTGATCATCCCCGTCAGCTCCTCCGCCGTCAACGCATGTCCCAGCTTCGCCATAGAGTGAGCCAGCTCTGCCGCCGTGATATACCCGTTGCCGTCGCGATCAAACATCTTAAACAACTGCTTCATTTGGTCGTCTGTGTAGGGAGACTTCGCCGGAAGAAGCTCCGGCGCCACCAGCGCTACGAACTCCGAGAACTCCACCAAACCGTTGCTGTTGGTATCGGCTTTCTGTATTAATGCATCGAGCTGGTCAGGGCTTGGTGTAAGACCTAACGATCGTAACAACGAACCCAATTCGAGTTGTGTGAGGCTGCCGTCGTTGTTTCTGTCAAACGATCGGAATATTTCCCGGAGCTCTCCCAGTTGTTCGTCGTCCAGTTTCACGGCCTCCTTGTCACTGCTCATTTCCGTCGTGTTTGAAAAACAATCTAAAATTTCATGGCAAACAGATCTATACAGATTACAGATGATGAAGGTGGATATAGGGATTCGAAGAAAGAATTGACCCAACAAACATTCCACGAAGCGATTACGATTACTCAGATGAGATGAGTCTGTATCTGGCTATCTGCATTGGATTTTGGATTTTGGAATTTGGAATTGGTAGTTAACCTCTCCATATTTAATGGATCGATTGAATTGTGGACACGACCATTGGTTGACGTATTTTCATTAAACAAATTCAATTTTTAGTTTTAATAATAATAATATAGTTATTAATTTTAAAATTTTGTTGGAACTAAATAAAATTTAAAAAAATTAAAAAAAAATTAAAAAAAAAAAAAAGTTAATAGCAAAGACAAAGCGGCGGCAATCGCGTGAAGCCGGGCACGTCTTTTTGGCTTTTCAACCGCTTTCTGAAAAATTAAAAGTTTCCACAACAAGGGTAGGATGGTTGCGATCCTCTGCATCACCTATGCTATGATCCATCTGCCACCTCTTACCAATGAGATGATGCCACATCAAATTTTGATTGTTAATCAACCTTTGACTTTATAATTTCTTGAGATATATGAAAACTCAAGAGACTTGAAGAGTCTATTGAATTGGTATATTTGGTACGGTGTATAGACCCACTTAATAAAAAAGGATGCAAAAAGATAATTTGATTTAATTAACAAGTAACAAACGTCGATATTTGATGCTAATCTGACTTTTAAAAAATATATAGGTCGTAGTAGGTAGCATGTTAACATCTGTGGGAATCACCTCACAATAGTTTAACCCAGACTCCTGCCCAAATTTAGTTGCCGTCCTAGTGACTAAAGAGACTTCGAGTTGAGGTCCACACGCTCTTTTGAAATTACAAATCATGCTTGGAATAATGTCTATGAAATTACAAAATCACCCTCGTGAATATTGACTTCCAATCACTTTGAGTGTTTGACCCCCTGATCATTTTGACCGACTGTCATATATTGATTTTTAAGTGTCCAAATCCATTTCATGCAACTTTTGTGGATTTTCATTCTCATTCATACGATGTGATGACAAGTCGTTTTGTTCTAGAATCTACATTGTGATTCTTTTTCCAAATAATCTATCATTTTTAATTAGAAAATTTAACACATAAAGCTGTTATACAAGGCAAAATGAGTTTACATATAGCACAGGAGCTTGAATTCAGCATAGTAATATACAACACAATTTACATATGAAAGTAAATAAACCTATTACACCTTTCAACAACATCCATGCTTATTTTCATCTCTATCAAATAAATATATTTTAATTTTTTATAAGCTTTGAAAACCTCCTCCTTAGATTCATTCATAAAAGCTTCAATTTCTGCAACAATTACACCCTGAATCTGTTTAAAAAAAAAAAAAAAAAAAAAAATTTACCATCTCTCCTGGGTAAGGTTATAGCTTTAAGCATGTAAAAATTAAAAACAATAATCTATACCTGATAATTAATCCAAAAGAGGACTTCCTTCTTTAGCAAGAACAAAGAGGCCACCATCACCTCTGGAAATCCTTAAATCCTTGTCCAAGTAAGTGGTTAAAAGCCATGATTTTGTTCTTTCACCTGGGATTGGAATCTTAAGAGGAGCTTGACCTGAAATGGCACCTGCTAAACTTGCCACAGCCTCTTGCAAAGGGTTCAGAGATTGCTGTACACCTGACAAATTTATATTTTGGCCAAAAATCTCAACACTTTCCGGAAGGCTTACATTTGACTTTATCTTTGGAGGCTGAAAACTCCCTTCCTTAAATTGTACCTGAAAAGATCATGAAATATTTATTATACAGAAAATAGATTTAACTTAAATTAAAGAGTAAACAGGTCATTTTCAATGCATGAAGCAATATATTGAAAATAACTAAATGCAAGAAACAGCAACATGCTTTCGTTTATTCTGTGTATTTCTATTCTATTACAGCATTGTACTTATAGTTTATATGTATTTGGATGACGATAAAGAACAAATGGATGAGTCCAATAGTGTGGAGCAACCCAATGGGTCGAAACCATTTATGGTCTGTCGAAGGAGATCCAATTCACGTGCCAAGGAATAATTATGTTACATGGGAATAAGATCTATATATGTCAGTAGCATGATTGGCCCCAATTTCGCGATAAACTCCTGGTGCGTTTTAATGGCACAAAATTTCGTAATGTTCATGAAGCTCTGGGTTCCCTATTCCAACCGGGCTCCATCGAAGAGTATATTGAGGAATTTGAAGCCCTTTCTGCCCTCATTCCAGACCAATCGGATTGGAATGTTCCTTAAGGGATTGCAGGAGGAGATTCGAAACTGGGTACGAGCTCTCAACCCTATTTCGTGTGATCATGCCATGGATCTCGACAGACACGTCTCTATCGCCACCACTAGTACATTGGTGACGTCCACCAGATCCTGTCCTTCGTCTCCCTGGAGTATTACGTCTCCGACCACACCATGAGCACTCAGACCTTCACAAAGTCGGATACACCTCAGCCCATTTCATTCACTAAACCCCTTCCTGCTATTGGGCCACCCGGTGCAAAAGGACCCATTTCGTCATCCCTTACCCGGACCCGCCCTCTATCCAAATCCGATTGGGAAGAACGGCATCGCTTAGGATTATGACACCCCCACCAGATGGTGAATGTCATGCCCTCGAGCTATGTGGTGTCACACTTGATTCTTCCTCCTCCGATCTGAAAACACTGAAATTACTACCCTAATCCTTATTGATAGTGGAGCTACACACAATTTCCTCTCAAAGAAGCTTTTGCTCGCGCTCTTGGTCTCGACCTCCTATTCGTAACATCGAGCACAAAATTACCCTCCTCAAGGGCCAGGGCCTGGTTTGTGTCCGCCCATATCGTTACCCTCATGCCCAGAAGAATGAGATACAACACCAAGTTAATGATATGTTACAAACTAGCATCATTCGGGTCAACCAAAATTCTATCTCCAGCCCGTAAAAAAAAAAAAAAAAAAAGATGACTCCTGGCGCCTATGTATCAATTACAGAGCTTTAAACAGAGTAATGATTCCCAACAAATACCCCATTCCTGTGGTCGAAGAATTACTCGATGAATTACAGATCAATCTCAAGTTCGGTTTCTATCAAGTCAAAGTGCGAGATGAGGATATTGAAAAGACTGTTTTTACGTACACGCTATCGGCACTTTGAATTTCTCGTGATGCTTTTCGGCCTCACCAACGCTCCGGCCACCTTCCAAGCATTGATGAATGATATTTTCCGGCCACTTGTTCAACAAGGAGTGCTTGTTTTCTTTGATGACATCCTTATGAATAGCGCTTCATGGGACCATCATCTCAATCTCTTATCACAAGTGTTGACCTTATTGCAGGAACATCAGTTAGTAGTCAACCAAAAGAAGAGCCATTTTGGTCTGAAGTCGGTGGAGTATTGGCCATATCATCGACAAGCATGGAACTATCTCTATGGACCCAAGCAAGATCCAATCCATCTTGGATTGGCCCGTTCCAAACAACGTGAAGGGCGTACAGGGTTTCCTTGGTCTTACGGGGTATTACCACAAGTTCATCAAGGGGTATGGCAAGTTGGCACAACCACTCACGGAACTCACCAAGAAGGACAACTTCAATTGGGGACCTGAAACTCAGCAAGCTTTCCAGACCTTTGAAGCTTCATATGACATCCGCTTCGGTCCTCGCCCTCCCTAATTTCCTTAAACCATTCGAGATTGAGTGTGATGCCTCCGGGAGAGGACATGGGGCAGTCCTCATGCAAGAAAAATGACCCATTGCCTTTTGCAGTAAGGCATTATCAGCTAATATTTTAGCCAAATCTGCCTACGAAAAAGAGATCATGGCACTTGCCCTTTCAATCCAACATTAGCAGCCCTACCTCCTTGGTCGAAATTTTACTGTATTCGCTGATCAAAAAAGCCTCAAACATTTGTTGGAACAGAGAATCACCACTCCAGATCAACAAAACTGGCAAGAAATTTTTAAAATGCAGGGAGCGATTTGAAGTTTAGCTCAGCCTACCACCCCGAAACAGACAGTCAAACTGAGGTGGTTAATCGCAGCCTCGAGACTTATTTACGATGCTTTGCTGCCGATCAACCCAAAACTTGGGCCCTTGGTTTAAAAAAGCGCCGACTAGGCACGCTTAATGCGCTAGGCGCCCAAGCGATGACCTAAAGCGCTTCAAGTAATGAGATGCGATGCGATTCCCTTAAGCAGTCGCCTTTTCCGCTTTTTACCGCTTTGTGCTTCAGTGCTTAATAGCGCTTACGGTAATTAATAGAAAATGGGGTTTTAATGAAGTTAGGTGGGCAAATAGGTTTATATAAATTTGAAAAAAAGGATGGAAACGATGAATCAATCTTGTAGGCAATACATACAAATACACAAAACATAGCAAATCGTATCATCGCTCCAACACATCTTCTCCAAGTAATCGGAAATCAACTCTGCTAATGTTTTCTACTTCCATTCAATTATACTAATCTACATATTCGATTCTCTTCTCAAGTCTAAAACTATAAACTTTGATAGTTTGAAGTATGAACTTTGGTCATAATATTTATATGTTTTCTATGAAGTTGTTAGCTGTTAACTTGTGTTACTTAACTGCTAAGTCATACACATAATTCATAAGTTATTTGTTATCATGTATGATAGTTTAGACGAAACTAGTTATAACTTATCAAGTACTTAGGATTTAATGACGCTACTATGATTTTATGAGATTTTTAAGTATTTCCATAATTTTTATATTTTTTTTCAATTTGGAGCGCATCGTGTGCTCTAGGTGCGCGCTTTCGCTTAGCCCTTAGCGCATCGGTCCCCAAAGGCTTTAGCGCTTCAGGTTATTTTGTATTCGGCTTAGTTGCTTGGGCAGGAAGACTCATTTGAGCTTTTCTCTGTTTGAATGAATTAAGTTCTCCTTTTGGTTCATCTTCCATTCTTTCTTCTTTCTTATCAGACGACATTAATGTTGTAGTAGGAAGAATTAGAAGTGACAGTAGGGTGCTAAGCTATAATAAACAAATCAATGGAAGTCTGTAGTACATTTGTATTGTAAAAAAAAAAGGTACCTGGATTCTTGAGGGACTTCTGACTTCAAAGTTTGCAGATGCAGTGGATGTGAAAGTAGCAAAAGGGGTGGAGAATGTGATGGAATTATCAATGGTAAGTGTGGTGGTAGAGATTTCTTGACAAATCTTGTCAACCTTCAACAATGGAGTTGTGCCCACAGCCAGAAGTGGCAGTAGCTCAGAAAATGCAGTGTACCTGTTAATTGTTATGTGTTACCACACAAACAGAATATGTTTCAGAACACAACAAGGGCAGAATAAGAAAATTAAGAAATTATGAGGAAAATGGTTGGAGAAAGAAGTAAACATGATTACTAAAAATAAATAATTAATTGATGATTGGACAGCCTCTTGTAAACAAGGTTAAGTGAAGCAAGTGAAGTAAGAAGAAATAGCTAAATGGGAAAGTAACTTGAAATTACAATGAGAGAAATGTAAAGGCTTTAAGTAGTATAAAGAAAGGGCAGGGCTATAGAAGAATTACAGTTTCGTTATAGACATATGCGCTTAGCTTTATCCTTCAAAAATCTGTTCTATCTAAATGTCATCATTTGTGAATTGTGATGTATTACTCTGAATTTACTTAGATGTCTATGTCTGATTCTAATAAACAATAGGCAGCTATCTTTTGCATTTTCTCACAATAAGGTACCAAATGTCGTTACTTCTTTGCTTTACACTCGTAGTCCATAATTTCTAATACAAATGCAACAGTTCTAGTTTTTGGTTATCTCAAAATAATAAGTGCAGCGTAGACCTTTCTTGGATTTAATTGACAAGTGATAGATTGAGAGATCGATAAAGCCAGAGCTGATGCATTCTAATCCGCAAAATCACAGCAATTGCAAGAAAACACAATATCAAAAAGTTGATACGAACGAAGGGTTTCAGTGTGCTTACAGCAAAATCCAGTTACCATCAAGAAGCTCCACCGCTTCAGTAGGCGCCGGCGTCGGATTAATCGCTTCTAATTGAGTCACCAACTCCATAATCTCCGCCCGTTCCTCCGTCGACGCACGGAATCCGAGACCAGTCCCGTAAACACTGTCAACCAAACACCTCTTCAGCTCTTCAATTTTACCATTATCCTCAGCTGCAGTCACTTCTAGAGTTTGACTGCCGTTGCCGGCAATAGAAATTTCTTCCTCCGGTTGCTCTATAGCACCGGTTCCCCACTCGTCTTCATCTTGGGGAGGATCTGAGGTTGACAATCTCGTCGGTGGTTCATTTTCCGGCTCAGATTTCTCTCCCCATTCATCTGTGACCGTGGGTAGCTGCGACCCGTCTGATTCTTCGTCGTCGTTGACAGTCTGGTCAGTGGCGTTCCATTCAGGGGTTGTTGGGGGATTGTTTGAGGAGAACCGAGTGAATGCCGATTTGATTCTTTTTTGGCGGATTGAAAAAGATAGAGATATAGGGGGAGAGTAGTGGAGCATGGAAGAAGTAGCCGTGGTGGTGGTGGCCGAGTTCTCGAAGAGAAGTGATGGGTTGTGGGAGAAGAGGAGAGACATTGTTGTTTCTGGTTCCGGTGAGTGTGGGTCTCCCGTTCCATGCTATTCATTTATTTATCTCATATTAAAGATTTTTGAGTAAATTACATGGATAGTCCCTATGCTTCTGGGTAATTTTTATATTTGGTTACTAATTTTTTTTTTTTTTTTTTTTTTTACCTCGGATGGTATTCATTATTATATGTTTTAGATGCCTTTATGGTTCCTATGAGACATAAAATCACTTTTTTCCTGTAACAATCATTTTTTTTGTATTTGGTAATTTATTAAACAAACTAAAATAATATATATATATATATATATATATATATATATATATATATATATATATATATATATATATATATATATATATATATATATATATATAGAAGTAAATTCATGCGAAAATATAAATATCCTGCGAAAACGTGAAAACAGCTTTTATCTTATGAAAATTAGATACATGTACTATAAAAAAATAATTTTATTAGCAATAAATTAAAAATAGTAAGTTTACATTAGATGGTGTTATGATAATATATATTTAAAGACGGTTTTTATAATTATATTTTTTTCACGTCCTTAATCATTTTTAAATTCATGTTTTCATAATAAAAATGTTAAAAATCATACTTTGCTAATATGAAATAGTCTATCATCTATCATCGATTATCATCATGTATTTCAAAGTTTGGATGAATTATTTTCCAAAATATAATGTTGAGGTGACATAATATCATATGGTTTTCTTGTTTTCGCGTTTTCGCAAATTATTTGCATTTTCGCATGAACCCTCCCATATATATATATATATATATATATATATATATATATATATATATATATATATATATATATATATATATATATAAATATAAATATAATATGGACCAACTATTTCTTTCTTAACATACCTACGTTTTGCTCTTATTTGATACAACCTCCACACACCCCTTTCTTCCACCTCCATCATTTCCCTTCACCGGAGGCTGCATCACCCCTCTCATTTCTTGTCGGAACAAATGTTTAACCTTGCTTCTTTGGTCAGAAAGCTCTTTGCCGCTGACTTCTAGTTTGATCATCTTCTTCGCCATCGTTTCATGTTCTTGTGCAATCGGCGCCTGTTCTTGTGCCATCTCCGCCTGTTTTTGTGCCATCATCGTCTGTTCTTGTGCTACCACCTACATCACCCCTCATCTTTCTATGTTGTTTGGGAGTGAGATTTACACGTTTATTTGATTCCGTTTGGCTTGGTTCTTGAGAGATTTCGTTTCTGATTTCCGTGAATAAAGGAGTTTGGAGCTACTGACGAGAGAGGGGGTACGATTTAGGAATCTATGAGGTTGTAGGATACGTAATGGAATCTGAATGTTCAAATATGGTCTCTGGTGTTGATTCACCTGAATTTGGGTTTGTTTTTATTAATCGATTTGCATTTGGGACTGTATTTGGGATTTCTGATTTTGTGAGTGTATTGGTGGTTTTTACACGAGTTTTAGTTTCTTATTTTTGTTTGAATTGCAGCTTTGATGTTGGAATTAGTTTTGAATCGTATGTTCCATTTTGGTGATTGATTTGATTTTTGGGTTTTATTTTGGTTTTGGATTAGAATTAAAGCTTTTTTGTAGATGTATTTTCTAATTTGTTGTTGAAGGCCATGTAGTTTGTGTGACTTTATGGTGATTTCCATGGCATTGGATCTATAGTGGAGAGAGGATGATTGGAGTCGGAGATGGAACCGCAGATGATGACAGGAGGTGATGTCGGATTCGGAGATGGTGATCGGAGGTGGTGTCGGGAACTGGAAGAAGATTAAGGTAGGGTGGGTCCCTTTAATAATAATATTTAATAAATTTTGTTTATTTAATAATAAATGAAATAGAAAAAAAGAATTAACAAAATAAAAATAATCAATAAGGACAAAATAGTCATTTTATGTCTAGTAGAGACCATAGACGAAGTAAAAACATACCATGAGGACTTTCCAAGTTAGAAAAAAAACAAAAAAAGTTAGGGACAATAACAACCCGTTATTTCAAGTCAATGTAAGTTTAATAATAAATGAAATAGAAAAAATAATTAACAAAATAAAAACAATCAATAAGGAAAAAAAAATAGTCATTTTATGTCTAGTAGGGACCATAGACGAAGTAGAAACATATCATGAGGACTTTCCAAGTTAGAAAAACACAAAGTTAGGGACTGTAACAACCCGTTATTTCAAGTCAACATAAGTCAAACTTGTTTAAATAAAAGTCAAAACTGCAACCGTATACAAGTGAATTCACATCATAATAATGATACAATAAGAACTTTGAATGGCATAAGGGTAGGTTTATATATACGTTATTTATGAGCATACTTTAAAAACCATATTTAATATAAGTTATATCTACATATATATTGAAAACCATGCATATATAAGATAAATGCAAGTCAACATAAGTCAAGGAAGTAAGTTAAAAAGCATGAAATGCACTTTATCGTGTTGATTTCGGTTTTGGGAATCTAGGAACAATTGTGTTTTCGGTTTTAAGCATCTAGAAATATTAGGTTTTCGATTCTGAGCATTTTGGACCACTTTAGGTTTTCGGTTTTGATCTCTCCTCTATGATCAAAATCAATCAATTGCGGGGCATCCAAGGTGATTTCGTTCATGCTAGGACCGAAATCATCCTTCTTATGGCCGAAATCCACCTTAAATATCTAGATATTTTATTTTATTAAGTTCCCAAAGTGATAAGATACACATTCCAACGTAAACATTCTATCATATATATATATATATATATATATATATATATATATATATATATATATATATATATATATATATATATATATATAACCAAAATCATAGCCTCATTTCTCTTTCTCAACTTAGAAAACTTTACATTTTGCTCTCAAAACCCATTTACAATCCTTCATATCTTCAAAGCAGATATCCACAACATCTTCAAGTTTTCCCAGGAAATCAATATATCAAGTTAATTTCCAAAGATTTATTGTAAGTATTTTTACATAACTAGTGTTATTTAACACTTATGTTAATCATATCACTAATTTAAACACAATATTATATGTTTAAATATTATTAGGACTTGGAATTTTTCCGCGTGTTCTAACGAAGAACATCACTACCACATCGTACCTAACCAAGAACACACACTTGTGGTGAGTTCATACCCCTACCTTTTCACGAAGAACGTCACTACCACAACATTATATGTAACGACCCAAAATTTAAGACCAAAAATTTCTTTTAATAAATCATTACTTAAAGTAAAGTCATCATTCCAAAACATAACGTGAGTATAAGTTTTCAAAACACATGTTCATTATCAGAGTAAACATTCCCAGACTGTCTAATCTATGGTGTGTGCCATGCGATCACCCCGAGCTCTTCCCTCCGCTACCGGAAGTACCTGAAACCAAAACTGAAAACCGTAAGCATGAAGCTTAGTGAGTTCCCCACCCTACCACATACCATGCATAACCACATATTGCACATACTGGGCCACGCCCCCTATCTTGGGCCTCGCCCCCTACCTCGGGCCTCGCCCGCTACAACGTCCCCACCGCTCCAGGCCCCGCCTGGCTTCGAGCCCCGCTCGGATACAGATCTGTTTTACTTAGGCCCCGCCTGTCACAGGGCCTCGCCCGCCTAACAATTAATAACACATAAACATTTCATAACTAACACATACAACTGGTTCTGTCCTAAGGCCTCGCCTATCCTGGGCCTCGCCCATATCCTGCTACTGATGAGTCATGGAACCCCGTCCACGCTACTAATGGTAGTGAGGTACGGGCCTAGCCCACTCCTACGCCTGTTCTAGTTCGGGCCTCGCCCCTATTCTGCTACTAATGAGATATGGAACCCCATCCACACTCTGCTACTGGTGAGATACGGGACCTCGCCCACACTCACCTCCCTACCAAGCACATACATGTATCACACAGACAACAAGTATAAACTATCATATAAGCAATTCCTTGGGCACCCGCCCGCTATTACAGGACATCGCCCTGAGAATAATACTACATGGGCCGGCATTGTGGCCTTAGGTCCATTCACACAAAAGGGAAACTCACATGCACTGGCTGAACTTGCAGATGATCTCACTAGCTGCTGTCCGACAACTCACGGAACTCCGGCTCCCCTTGCTCCCCGAACTACCAATACCAATGCAACACTGAGTCTAACTGACCCCCGAAAGACAACCAAGTCCACCCTGGTCCAAAGTCAAAGTCCTGGTCAAAGTCAACCTTCCAGGTCAACCCTACTCGCCGAGTCACCCTACTGACTCGCCGAGTTCATGATATTCAGATTCCTTCCATTCGTGACTCGACTCGCCGAGTCAGTCCATGACTCGCCGAGTCTACCGATTTCTGAGTCCAGACCTGTCCAACTCACTGAGTCTCCACCCGACTCACTGAGTCGAGTCACAACTCGAAGGGTTTGGGGTTTCGCGACCTAACTCGCCGAGTCCAAGAACAGACTCGTCGAGTCCAAGGCAATCTTCATACGACTCGACGAGTTGTTCATCCCACTCGTCGAGTTTCTCCACAACTTCATGCTACTTGCCGAGTCCACTCAAAGGACTCGCCGAGTCCCTTCAGTTCTCCTTACATGCAGAGGATTTTTGAGTCATGCATGGACTCCAAACTATAGATCCACCCTTCCCAAGCCTATTCCACACGTAAAGTTGCAAACTTTACGTGTAGAGAAGGAGATCTAGGCAAAATATGCCACAAACTAGAGTGTAAGGCCAAGGGGCTTCAAAATCGGCTTAATGGATGATACTTTATGCTTCTCCAGGCCATAACACACTTGGATCTAAAGTGGCAACTCCAGATCCGGCTTCTAACTCAAAATAATAACATTATGGCTAAAGAGCCCCAACAACCACACATAGATCTAGGTGCAAAAAGGGTCCAGGAACTAATTTATTACCTCCAAGTGCTCAGAATGAACTCACAATCCCAGATCTATAGCTCCTTCTTGTTCCTCCAAGTTCCTCCTTCCTTTTCCAAGCTTTAATGCACCTTCCAAGGCTCAACTAGGAGATGTGACGGCTAGGGTTCGATATCCAGGGCTAAAGAGGCAGTAAGGAACCCTAGGAAGAAGATTAAGACATTTATATAGGCCCCAAGTCCCGAATTTAGGGTTTTCCACGCACAGACCAGACTCGCCGAGTCACCTTGGCCGACTCGCCGAGTCGGTCGCTTACACTAGACCCGGACCCCGCTTGGACTCGCCGAGTCGGCCCTTAAATTAGGGCTTTTAAGACTTGGGTGTTACATTATATGTTTAAATATACAATTTATTCATTACAAGTATATTCATTACAAAAAGACTTTTCATTATTCTACACGTAACCGTCAGTATAGCTTTGTGAAACACACTTCAAGTACTTATCTAAGTACTAATGAAAGCCTTCAAATTATAACCAGCGTCTCCTGGAGGGAGAGCGTGATACTTGTGTATTAATCTATATGGGACTGACAATCTCGCACCTAAACTGTTAGCTACAGTTAGGCCGACAGGCCTGGGGTGAAAAATGTTGTACCAATTCTGACGCCTGAAGAACGTCTTATTCAGGCTATCATAGGTCATCAAACATGGTTATAATAACTCACAATTTGGTATTGAACAATACGATTAGTGTACGAATATGTAAACAACTTCATATAGTTTTATTACATAATAAAACTACAATACGGTATTTTACATTACAGCTGGTGGATCCAGGCACATACATTTACAGAGTTTTCATACAAATACACTTACACCAGACTATTTTCCAGTACAGAGAAACTTACATTTCAGAAAAACATTCATTTTCATATGGTTTTATTTAATAATAAAACTATGATATACTATTTCAGAGTACAACAACACTTATACATTTTGGTCTTGTGGTATTAAGACTATAATTCATTTACAATAGAAAATATTGGATTTTCTGGAAGAACGCACACTTACATTTTCAAAGAACAAGAGACAGATTTCTAATACAAAACTACTCATGAACTCACAAACTTAATTGTTGACACTCTTTTCAAACCACTTGTATTCTCAAGAAATCAGTAAACAAGTATCGACACAGGTTTTAAGAAGGCGAAGCTTCATAGAGTCACGTCTTTTCGTTTTGCT